TTGTAAAAAATAAAAATGTTAGTATGGAAACAGAGTCATGGTGGGCCCATGCAACCAATGATGGGCAAGTCAATAAATGGGAAATCAAGCATTGTCAATACAAATCTCTCAAATAAATAATTCCATAATAATGTATTTTTGTATGTGTCATAAATCTAATACAGTCTAACAAGAAGATGAAAAAAACTTGACAAACTCTGTTTATCCTTTTGTTTGGAAATTTATCAGTATTTCCAGTTTTCTGACACACACAGAGTGGTGAAAAGTCTTGAAAGTCTACCAGAGTAATGAAATTTACCCCCCCCCCCAAAAAAAAACAATGGCATCTCCAGGACGGACTTAACCAACAAAGTCTGAACTGTTAAAGCGGCTGTTTCCAGAGTCAGGGCCCCACTGGTGGTCACTAGGTCGGGGGTCTTGAAAAGATCTCCAGAAGCCGAATACAACTACATGTCAATTCCTAGAGTTGTATTTCTACTATAATTGTTACAAAAATAAAACACTGTGGTCATAGGAAGCTAGTTACTGGTTGAATGTCATGTTTCAGTTTCTTTTGCTGCTTTGTAATGTCTATATAGTCCATCCAGGGATAGTGGAGTCTTTGCAATTATTATTGTACAGGTCAGAAACTGAAAAACTGTTATAAAACAATCCTGAGAAAAAAAGCCCAACAACTCGTTTTGCTGCAACAGTGTTTCCATGGAGTTAATGTGTTTGATGTAACTGAAAGGAGAACATAAACTAAAACACAACTCTAAATCTTTGTATCTGTACAAAAACTTAAATATAGTATTAGAATTAGTAAAAAGAGTCACTGCAACCCTAAATAAGTGTTTTATAATGGAAACCGTTGTCTGTACTTGCTATTCTGAGCAACACAGCACTAAATAGTGTTATGTGATCAGGTTAACCTAAATTACAAAACGCTGAGAGAACAGGGAGAGAAAGTGATAAAAGAGGAGAAGAAAAGCAACACAGAGCTCTTCAGCAAACTGAATGTGACACTCTCACAGAAAACTGATATACTCCCAGAGAGAAAGAGGGAGAACGATGACTCCCTGAACTCACCACCTCCCTTTAGCTCCATTCTCTCCCTTCTCATTCTCACTCCTGCGAGGGAGGTGATGAATGTGTGCGTCTGTTTCGGTTCCTATTAATAGGACAGTGCATGGCTAGAAGTGTCCAAGCTGGGGAGAGATGAGATCTCTCACTCTTTCTATTCTTTACTCTAATACATACAAGATTAAAGCAAACTAGTAGTGAGGCCAGATGTAGCAGAGGTGGAGGCAATGGTGGGGGCGAGCAAAGGAAAGCAGAGAAAAGAGGGGAGAGGTCAAAGACAAAGCTAACAAAAGACCCTCAAACAACCATTTGGATGGATTTATTACCCATAAAAGATTAGCCAGCAACCCACAGAACTCCTCTCAGTGACATGAACAAAGGAATGCTACAGTATTGGTGCAAAGACACCCTCTCCACTATTTAACTCCTGCAGCACTATTACTAAGTTACTAATCTCACCTTTAGAGTTGGTGGCCAGGTCAGCCACTTTCTGGAACGCGTCCAGGAACGCAGTCACAGCCACCGCTGTTGCCCTGAGACAAACAAGGAACAAGTTTATTCATAAAGAGAATAAAATTGCTTGCAGATATACAAGAACATCATGTAGCTATAATAGTGGCACAATGAAGCCAAAAACAATGTGATCAGAAAAAACTTGTCATGCTATTTTTTTTTTACTTCCTTTCGAAATATGGGTGTGTATTGACAATAATCTGGTGATACACACCAAGATACATGAGGATACGATATATTGTGATTAAGTCAATTGATATTTATGATTTAAGACTGAATTGAATTGGAAAACTCTGAATAAAGTGATTAAAACTGCTGCCACCTAGAAGTCAGGGTTTGAATTGCACCACACAAAAGAAATACAATAAATGTTTGCATGCACATACTCAATTTAAAAAAATCAATACAAAGCTTTTAAACATAACAAGAAATATCACAATATTTCAATGTATCGATATCTTCTTACCTCTCATTTATAAACAACTCATTTTAAAAGCGTAATCATACACTGAATTCAGCGCTAATATTCAGCTTGAACTGATTATGTTCCATCCTGAACCTGACCTGCTGAGTGAGGAATGTGAAAGTAATTACGTTGAGTTGGCTTTACTTCCAGGTCAATGGAAGGATCAGTGGGAGTAAACCTGTTGAGTCTTGAAATGACAAAATGGGGCCTAAAGTGGGTGTTCAACAAACCTGCTTTTTCATCATCTAGATTTATTATTATTATTATTATTATTATTATTATTACTGAAACCTTTACTAGTATGGAAGTTATTATTCTGTTAGTCAACAGGTAACTGGCCAAGTTCAGAAACGTCACAAGATTAGATCACAGGTAATGAAGATGAAAGGAATCTAGAGGTTGTGTGTGTGTGTGTGTGTGTGTGTGTGTGTGTGTGTGTGTGTGTGTGTGTGTGTGTGTGTGTGTGTGTGTGTGTGTGTAATATCTGATCTCCTCTACAAGATGACTATGCTACTTGTCAGTCATGCTACAGAGAAAGAGATTAGCCAAGAATTTCTCCGAAGCGTTTTCACCCACAAAAGCTTATTTGTTCAGACTACGAGTGGGACGACTCGTGGAATAAAACTTCTCTGAGTTTTAAACTGAAAATATTTTACAACACAACTTTGGGGTTTCCATCAACAAGGCCAAATATTAGGTTAAAACTGCAGAACAAACTTAAGTGTTGTGGTTTCACAACACTGGAAGAACTAAAGTTACAATATTTCCTTAGTACATGAATAGTGTAAAAGTCAACGAATTTGGCAGTAATTCGCATCTAAACAGAACAGTTTTTGGGAAAGGAGCTCCTGTTAAAACCTTTCTCAGCTTTTCAATAGCATCAATGTTGTTTCAGGGTCTTACAAAGCCACCTTTTACACCCGTAAAGAAAGTTAAAATAGGTCCAATAGTTAAAATGCCCCAGAGCAAAAGGTCAGGCATACTCCTTGGTATTCTTTGTTCAGAAGAATCTTTTTCTTCATCATTCAGATACTCAATGCAGTAGTATTGGTTAACAAGTGCTGTGTTGTTGCAGAGCTGACCGGCAGATCCATGGGTGTGTCCTGCAAATGGAAAAAGACACATACACACAGGCACACACAGATGCCTTTCTATTTCAAGCCCAGCGCCATAACAACCTCTAACTCATATTGGCCTCCACTAATGTATTACATGCACTCATTGGGCTGTGGATCATTTTTATAAGTAGTTGCAGCTAAATCACATTCCCTCCCATTTAAATCCTTGATGCAAAGTGGGTTTGCGTGACAAGTGGTTTGAAGCCTGCTTTTAGTGTCACTGGGGGCAGAACACGATGATTCTAGTCAGCGATTAGTTGCTTAATCTACAGCTTTAATTTAGGGAAAGTGTTGATACCAAATGGATTATCTCGGTCACCATATTTAGTCTTTTAGCTTTTTATCTGACTTTAATCAGGCTTTAGCTGGAACAACAGGGACATTGGGAAAGTTTTGTTGTTAATAAATACAAAAAAAAGAAAAAAGAGGAAAAACAAGGATTAGTTAGAGAACCAGCATTTAGCTAAAAGTCCTATAATTTATAAGACCTATGAGATGAAGTCTTTTATTTTACTATAAAGGTTCAGCTTGGTGTAGTCCTCCAAAAATGACCCAACTGCTACCACGAGCCTTAAAGTGAGCACACACCCGCTACAAATGCAAGACAAATGACTTTAACATATCCATAGCCAGGCCGTCTGAACTCCCCACAGAATGCCATGGTACAGAAGAGCACTCTAATACAACCATGCATTGAGTCCTGCTGCTCTCTCTATTCTTAGTTCAGCAGAAACTTTTGGATAACGGAGCTTCTTTCAGGAACAAAATCTATTCAAATCATTGCAAAATAGGAACTTAGAAATTAGTTTTACTACAGTACTTTTAGACTGACTCAGCCATCAATATAATGTTAAATCAGTCAACTTTCCACATCCTTTTGTGCCTCTTTTAGTGTTTAAATTAGATTCAAACATCTAATGGGCTCACAAAAATAAACAATAAATGATGAACAAGAATCTGCTTCTAGACCTGTAGAAAGAGAGAGAGAGAGAGAGAGAAAATGGAGACACACAAAAATACAAGACCAAAATATCACTGTGCCAACAACATGAGGATATATAAAAGAAAAATGTTTGCGGAGAAACACGCGGTAGTAATTCATAGTGCATTTGGTACGATCAACAGCCACCACACAGGTGATGTGTTGAAAATGCCCAAATCCATACTTGTGAGAGCACCATGTGAGCACCAGAATGTGTGCACGCTTGTATTTGTAAAGTTTCTCTATAGGAGTGTCCAATAGTGAGTGGGAGGGGCCACAGATCTGACGTACAGAAGATGGAGAATTTCCAAGTCCTAGAGATCCAAGGGTCTCCCTGGAGACCAGGAAGCCCAGGGAGACAGTTGCCAGAGAAGCCCCAATCCCCCTCCCGAGGGCCGCAGAGGATTACCCCGGGGGCCGAAACCAGCCGCCGCCAGAGCCCTGGCAGATAACAATGGCAAGCCCCCAGGCACGCCCATAGCCGCCCACCCCCAAGCTGGACGAGCTCGGAACACAGCGGCCCAGGACCCAAGGGCGACCAACCCCGCCGGGGACCCGACAGAGCCCAAGGATCCAGACACCACCAGGCAGCAACCGGTAACGACCTGACAGATCCCAAAAACTTTCCGCCCCCAACACGGGAGTTGCGGATATGCAGGCAGACCGAGGCACCACCCACCGGCAGAAAAAGTGGCAGGAGGAGGGTAGGCGAAAATGTTGTAACACCACAAGATGTCCCAGGATTTGAAGACCCTACCTGACATATGCATTCACACACAAACACAGTCACATGCTCACACATACAACTAGGGGTGCTCCGACTGATCGGCCACCGATAATTATTGGCCGATTTTCGTGCAAAAGTGTGTGATCTGTGATCGTCGATCACTGCCTTTCATTCCCGATCTGGCACTGACTTTATTTTTGTAGTTCATAGTGCTGACTTTGAAGCACTTACTCTTCCCCGCCGGTAGAGGCGCTGTAGTTCACCCTTCCACTTCCCCCCGCTTAGTGCGTATGCGTGTGGCGGCAGACCCACAAAGAAAAACATGTCCGCTGAGTGGAACTTCTTTACGGTGTGCGAGAGTGATATTAAGTTTGCGTTGCAACACTTGCAACGAAAACATACCCCGCGGAGGAAGCACGTAAAAAAAATTCAACACAACTAATTTGATCCGACGTTTAAAGACTAAACACTTGGCGGAGCATGGTGAGTTTTTGAGGCTCACCGCAGACAATGAAAAGAAGCCTGCTAATGCTAATGCAGCCACAGTCAGACGGCAGCTAACGCAGCTGACGCTTGGAAACACTCGCCCATATGAGCGTGACAGTCAAAAGGCTAAGCAAATTACCTGGAAAATCGAGTTTATTGGACTAGACGACCAGCCTTTTTCAGTTGTGGAAGACGCCCGGTTCCGCAGACTACTAACTCACTTGGAACCCCGCTACATGCTACCGGGACGTAAATATTTTTGCCAACGTAGCCCTTCCAGAGCTCCACCAGACAGTGTATTCTTTCATCGAGGGACTCCTTAAAGAAAGCGTCTCATCCTCTGTGTTTCACAAGTGATATTTGGATCTCAGATGTCAGTCCTGTGTCAACGCTGAGTTTAACAGCTCACTGGATAGATGCAGGCTTTCAACTTCAAAGAGCTGTTCTGCATGCCCAGGAGTTTTCCGGTTCCCATACTGCGCTAGCTTTAGCAGCTGCATTTGAACAAATGTTTCACACATGGCATATTCCAAAAGATAGGGTACATGTGATACTAAGAGACAATGCCAGAAACATGACGAAAGCTATGGCAGATGGGTTTCCAAGTTTGGGGTGTATGGCACACACCCTGCAGTTGGCCATCCATGATGCTGTGCTGTCACAGCCCAGCATAAGTGACATTGTTGCCAAAGGGAGACGCATTGTGGGACACTTCAGGCACTCTCCTTTAGCATATGCAAGACTTCAGAGTGAACAAAAACAACTGGGACAGCCCACCAAAAGACTGCAGCAAGATGTCAGCACGAGGTGGAACAGCACCTATTATACGCTCCGCAGCCTCTTGGAGCAAAAACGAGCTTTGGGCGTTTATGCTGCTGACTTTGAGCTACCTGCTACCTTTACATCTTCCCAGTGGGACCTGACTGAAAACACAACACTACTCCTGGAACCCTTTGAAGAGCTGACTAAAGAAATATGCTCATCAACTGCATCTGCTGCTGATGTCATACCCTCTGTGCTGGTTTTAAAGTGCGTACTTGCCAAAGATGCTGCAGCAGATCATGGTGTGAAGACAACTAAGGCCACTTTGCTGGAAGCTGTCTCCAAAAGATTTGCTGACATCGAAAAGGAGCCTCTCTACAGTTTGGCCACATCATAGATCCAAGGTGAGAAAATTATAAAATAAGTAATGCTGAAATGTAAGCATTTACTTATCCATAGTTAATTATTTTGTTTTCAAG